TCATATTATAAAGTTTCATTTTGGCAACTTATACAATATTATGAATCTGATAAATAAGGCATATTGCTATAAAGCATAATTTACGAAACAGCTCTTAGCAAGAGCGAAATTTCTTGAGTATGCAATTAATTGCAATTCATTAAAAATGTTAGCAGCAATTAATTAAAAATGTCTTCTTTTTAATTTTTTCGTAGTAAGCGTTTTTTCCATGCAGTTGTCTCGGAATATTCAAAATTCTCAGAATATGCATACACTTTTTCCCTCCTTTTTTTTTCAAAATATTTCTGACTTTTTGCTGTTACAGAATTGGTAGGGATAATTTTTCTTTAGTATTTTAGACATTGCAGCTTGGAAAGTTTAGAAGGGTTCGAAGTCAAGATTTATAGACCCACGATTCTACAAGATTCGAGAAATATGTGACAAAATGAAAAATGTCTCCATGATATCGACACGTAATGGATGTATTTTACAGAAAGTTTGCGATGAATTTCTTACCTTTTGGAGAATATCTGGAAGAACAATGGAAACATAATATTTAAATGTTTTACTCCTGATACGAGAATCATTTTCTTAACATGTTTATCTTCCCTTTATTTTCTCTACCTTTCACTAAACACAAGCATCAAAAATATCAAAAATGCTTCTAATCTTATCACTGGGCAGGCATTATAGAAAGGAATTTTTTTATTAATAAAGAAATTGAAAACTTACAATTTAAAAGATTCATCTAATATGCCTTAATGCATCATACACAGAGCTGGCACTAGGCATTTTCCCACCTGATGCAATCTCTGTGTAATTCTGCTGCTTAGTGCCTTTCTAAATTCTCCTTCCAATGCCTGCTCTAAATTCTAAAAGTTTTGCTATTTCTAGATTTTAGATATATTCTAGATTTTGTTTTATGGTGTGTCACTAAAATTCTAAAAATTCTGCCACACCAGCTTTGTAACCTGGACCTTTACCATATATATTTCATATTTCTTCTGAATGTTCATATTACTAAAGAAATAAGAATTCAGCCACTTTTTCTATACATTCATTCTAAGTGCATTTAGTGTTTTTTAGAATAACAGAAATCTTTAGATCTAAAAATTCTAAAATGAGAAGGAACTGTGTTGAAGAAAGAAACTGAATACATAAAGAAAATTACTCCACAAAGATATGTGCAGTTATTATTATGTAACTTACCCAATTGTTTATAAAATCAGCCTTTCAGTTTATGATTCAGTCGGGGGTTTGGGACTATTTAACTTTTACCAGATCAAGTAAACCCCCATAGGTACCTTGTGGAGATGTTGACAAGTTAGGAGATAAGCATGCAGAAACTAGCGAGAGCATTGTTTTGCATATTGAGACAACTCTCTAATTGTTAGAAAAGATGGTTAAAGAGAAGGAAATTGATATAAACTAGCCAAAATGTTTGGAAAGGCTTCAAATTAAAATGAAGGATAAATATTTTGTTGAGTGTTGTTACAAAACATAAATGTTTTGTAGCTTTTAATGTGTATCCTAATATCGTTTAAGAATCAATGTCATAAATTACATGTATTTTAAACTGTGAAATTTTATTAGATTTTGATTTTAATAGGCTTTTTTAACAAATATTGCTAAAAAATAAAATTTAATAGTGGCCATGTAAATCCATAATGACTAAGGTTATCTAATTACCTAATTTAATTATTTATAACTAACTGCTTACCCTTAAAAGTTATATTTACATATTAAAGCGAGTTATAGCCTTTCATTAACACTTACTGTGGTCACAAGATAAAACACAAAAATTTAAAAATTCAAGTAAAACTTATTCTTTGCATCTAGTGAAACTTAAAAATAATACAAAACAACTTATCATCTCTGGTACTTTAATCGCTTATTGGAACATTAAAGTATATTAACTGGGCTACAATCCCTTGGAACTCTACACAAAGCTATGACACTAACTGCATCAAAACAGAGCCTGACTAAGTTTCAAACACTTGCCAACTGTGTCTACATCAGACCTTTCAGGTTTGTTCTAATGAGCAGGTCTCTTTCTAGACAAGCAACAGCGGTGACAACATTCAGTCTTTTGTTATGAATCATGCTGATTATGATCTTACTTCTCATTTTAACCTATACCGTTTGACGTAAAATCTACCTGCTATTTACTAAACCTCTAGATTGACTAAGTATGTAACAAAATGAGACATAAAAAAATCAACATAAAGCTAACTATTAATAAGTAAATGTCATCTTCTTTCAAATATGTCCAACTATTATAAGTGTAAAATATTTAATCTTACTTGATAAATTGTATAATGTTTATTTTATTCTCAAACTTATTAATCATTATGTTAATTAATTCATTTTTAGTAATAATGCATACTACTCAGGGATCTATTTTAGTTTTAGGATGGTATTACAAAAGTGAAATTCAGGCTTAGAATAGTATTTTTAATTGAATTTATTCAGTTCCCATTTTCTCATAGGTCCTTAATTTTTTCATTAAGAGTCCTTAAAAGTCCTTAAAAGTACTTAATTTCTGTGTGCAGAAATGTGTACGAACCCTGGAGAGATCATTTTCCAGGCTAAAATTAATAAAAAAACTATCTGAGATCGACAAGGATCAGGATAGATTAAATAGTTTAGCAAATTATGTCGATTGAAAGTGAAGACGCAAGGAAATTAGATTTTCAAACGATTTTAGAAAAATTTACAGAACAAAAACTTAGAAAGATGTAAATTCATGTATTCATATTTAATAATGTAAAATTATATTCAATAAATGTTTTTGTATTTTGAACATTTTTATTTTTTAATTTATGTAGAAGTTTACCTGTCTGATGATCCATGACATTTGATATATATATATATATATGTTATAATAAGAGCAAAGGAACTGACGGAACACTGTAGATGTGTAGTTATCCTATATTGAAAAGGAAGTAATCTGATTGCGTCGTAAGCTAATGTGTTGACTTCGTAAATAAAACTTGGCAGTAGAAGCGATTTTAATTCCATTTTTATTTCCAATTGATATTTGTGGCCACAATCACTTGGCACTCTAGTCGTGCCTTTCCACAGAAGATTTACATTTTTGATATTGTTGAGATAGAAAGCAAGCCAGCGAAATTACATATTAGCACAGTAGAGAGCAAAAGCTGAAGTGCGTAGTTATGAAAGATGGAAGCACGCGAAGAGAAAAGTTTTGGTTTACAATTCGGTGATTGGTCGTCAAGAGGCATCTGGTATTATATTAATCTGGTATCAAATTAATCATTAGATCGCATGATTAATTTGAATGACGCAATGCAGATAAGTTATTACGATTTTAGAATAGAGAGGAAGAATTAATGTTTATAGTATATTATAATTCTGATTCATACATTGTTATCTTACATATATATGTAAGATATAACAAAATATGAAAGCTGTTTCAGAAAAATAATTGACGACCTTAAAATTAACATTCTAAATTTGGTAATCTGCCCTTAAATTCATCTCTTCTCACAGGTTCCAGACTTTTCTATTTCATGTAACGTTTTAATGCAGATGCCTCTCGTCCAATCAAATTAATTCTAAACCAAAACTGTGAACTGAAACTTCAGCCTTCTTCCTATGAAAGTACTATTAGCTTCCCTTTTTTACCGCATAGCTTTCCTGCTGGCAAGACGCTCTTAAACGATGCTGCTGCTTAGTTGCTTAAGATGACGTCGTACTTCAAAATGGGAGTTATTCTATTCAAATATAATTAAGAAATATCTTGTCTGAAAAAGGATGATTTGATATGCAAGGAAAAAATAAAGATTGTGATTTTTCAAGATATGTTGTGCTAATTTGCATCATCATGCTTCCCACTCTGCCACTTTCAAACCACAGTTTCATTACATATATATATGTCGGGCCCCGCACCTATTCAATCTGGGCCTGGCTGATGATGGAAAGCTTGACATTCCCATCTTGCAGCATAAGATAAGAACAAGCAACATTCCAGGAGTATATTTTAGCTCAAAAAAGATAAAATAATTATCAAATATAATGTAATTATAATGATTATTGTATAATTATTATAATAGTTCATTACAATAATGAAAATCGTACAATAAACAAAATAACTGAAATATAACTACAATTATAATACTATAAAATTTATTTATTACATTTTATATTGAAAGAATGTATATATAGTAAAACTAATTTGAAAAACTTTGTATTTTCACAAATATGTAAATAAATAAATGCAAAAAATTAAACATAATTTAAAAAAATAGCTAATTATAAATGAGGATCAGCATATCATTTTAGATCAAAGTAATTTTCTGTCTTGTAATTTCTGTGCTCTTTAAATGCCATAGAAATAAACAAGGAAAAAATATGAACAGAAAAATCTCTGTTTCATGATTCATGCCCCTCCAACCTATTTTGAGAATAGATCTGGTCGAATGGCACGTGTTTGTTTGTGCTCACAGCTGAGACGATCAAACTATATTAATCTCTATGCAGCTTACAGAAGTTCATTTTCATAAAAACATAGTATAAATTCTACAAGATTTATCAAATTTTTGGAATTTGTTTTCCTCGAAATTAAATATAAATCCTGTAGAAATGTTAATGGAAGTTTCTCAGAAGAGTAAGTATAAATTCGGCAGTATTTAATACTTAATCTCCTAATAGTTGTAGTTCATAGTTAAACATCACAATCTCTATGTGTCAGTTCATGTTGATCACACACCTTACTGTTTCTGTTAAAGAACTGTATGTATCATGATTTGTAATTTTTGTAATCATGCATACATTTCCTGTATAAATTTTTAATGTGCAGTTTTACATCATGTATGCAACAATTATGTTATCATCAAAATTTATTAACAAATACAGGGCATTCTTTATCATATATCGCAGGTCATCAGAATTTTCTAAGTTATCCTTTTATTTTGAATACCAGCTTAAAAACAAAAGTACAACATATGACTTCATATTAAGTATATATTTCGCACTGAAATTTTCTGTATTTCTTTCAGGGATATTCGTTCTCCATCAACATTTCCCTTTCATGAAATATTTTACTTTGATGATGTTTCATCTTTGAAAAAACATTTGTTAACAGTTCCAAAAATTACTTTGTGTCGAACACTCTCCAATCCACACAGATGCCTAAAAGCAAGTATTTTTCTTTCTATTTTCCTTCAGAAGAATTTTGTGTATATTAAAAGTACGTATTTTTTTAACAAGTTAATCCCTTTTTGGTTGCCATCATGCATCACACATTTAGTTTTTTTGCGCCCTTGTGGTTGATACCATATATAATGTGACGAAGGGAGAAACTGCATCATTGAAAGTAAATTTGTCTCAGTATATTGTGATTATTTTTTGTGTTTCTGAATATTGCTAAGAGATGGTGCAGCCAATCCTACTTCACATTTTTCACAGTGAGATTTTCCACTTAGATAATAATTTTGTATTTTCTGGAATTTTACTTTCTTTAGTTCTATGCTAGCAGAGAGTGAAATGTGCCAGCAAGAAAATATGCCATCTATTGCAGCAAATAGAGACAGTAAAGCAAAACGAAAGAAAAGACAAAAGTATTATTGTGAGCAGTAATGCTGTGGGACTTTGCCCTGTGCCATGTTTTGAAATTTTTGACACTCAACATGTTAGAAGTTACAATAAAATTTTTTTGGTCTATTTAATTATGGCAAAGCACACTAGGGCTATCTGCCTAAGGGAAGGGATGCCTTCTTGGAGGACTTTCTAAGGGAAACTGGCTCGTATACACGTTACACATGGGAAAAACCACAAAAACGCCCATGCAGCCAGCCCGTTCACGGGATTCGAACCTTGGACCGAACTACCAGTGTTCAGCGACTTTACCTCTCGGCCTCTTTTGGGCCCAGTTTACAATAAAAAGCTATTCAATAAATTTTTGACATTCATAACCAAGATTTTTCGGCTTGCAATAAATGAAATGTGGTTTTTATGCTTTAGTAGCTAAAAAAGATTATGAAGCTGTTTTCACGGTAAGGTTGTCAAACCATTTTTCAATATATTTTTTATGTATTTTTAGTAATTCTTTTTATGTAAATATTTATCTAAAATTCCTTAAAGCAATAGATTTAATAAATACAGTATCAGAGAGTATTTTTTCCAATATGAAACCTGAGTGCTTTGCAAGGAAAACTAAAGATTAGTGAGCAGAATGTTACATGTATGACCACCAATTGGTCAAGTAAAAAAGTGCTTACCAACAAAAATATTTTTGCACTTTCGAACTCAGGACAGAACATATTAATTTTAGCAATTCAAAAAAAAAAAAGAAGTGGATCAGAAATTTGGGGGGAAACAATCTTGCCAAGAGGTTAAGATTTTTGGAGAGGTTTTTGTATATTTATTTATTTAAGAAAAGAAAAGTAATGTCCAGTATTAACATTTACTGAACTGATATCAGAAATATTTGCTCATTATGAAATATTTCATTCAGATTTTGTTATGATTATAGTCTAAAAGTAAAATTTGCGTTCCCAAAATGTAATTTTTTTTAAACATGTTCACTTTGTCAGTGGGTCTAAAAAATTTTCATATCTTTTGTGACATGAGCATCATCCGTAGGTCTTGGGTATATTTCCACATAATGCTAAATAAATATCTTGTTGTATTTTTTTTTTTTTTTTTTATATATATATATATATCTGTTATTTCAAAGTCATATTACTGATGTTCTTAGAAATCATGTAGCTTGTTATTTTAGGCCCATTTTCAACATTAAAGCATTTTCATGTTATGTAAGTCAGCATTAGAATTATTCTACTTTTTTGAGTTGAATATTATATTGTAGAATTTCAAGTAAAAGTTATTGAATATATGCAATCGTTGAAATCTCGCTTTTGGAGGGGAGATTGTGATAAAATGGCATAACTAAAATTTTTGTTAGGCACACCTTGTTAGATAAGAGTAAGAATTTAGTAGGAAAAAAAGTCTTTGAATTTGCAGAGCCCTACTTGAATCAAGGAAGAACAATTGTTACAGACAACTTTTATGCATCAATATTAGCTAACTGTTTACTGGAGAAGGACACCCACTCACTAGGAACACTGCATAAGAATTGAAAGGGATTACCAGTAGATGTTATGAAGACAAACTCAAATAAGGAGAGATCATTGGAAGTAAAAATTTTAATAGATTTATAGTTGCCAAGTGAAAGGATAACAGAAGTGTGGCATTTCTATCAACTAAGCATAGCATAGGTTTGAAAGGCATGGGAAAAAATAATCGAAGTGGCAAAGAAATAAGGAAACTAGAGGCAATTCTAGAATACAATGCTGCAAAAGGGTGTGTGGATCTTTCAAATCAAGTAAAAAACTATTTTTCATTTTCTTAGGAAAACAGTTAATCAGTACCATATGGCTGTTTTTGAGTTATTGAATACTGTTGTAATTAATTCTTGGATTATCTACAAAACTCTGAAATATGAAAAGATATCTATAAAACAATTCTGAGAATTAATAATTTTGGAAATGCTTGGAATAATAAAATAGCTGAGGTTCGTTAAAAAAAACACATACTAACAAAGACTGGGGAGAAAACAAGAAATAACAGATAGAAAGGAAGCCGATGTTATGAAAAATGCAAACAGGTGACGGAGGACGGGGACACCTGAAGTTTAACAGAGGTTAACAGGCATATGTCCCGCGTCCTCCCCTGGAGTTTATTTAATAGTTATAAGTGTGGATACATGACCATACAGGGGCAACTGTTTAACATCTGGCATTTGAAGTACATTTGAATTAACATACAGGCACGGTTAAAAAAAAAAAAAAAAAAAAAAACATTTAATAGGTTATAACAAAAGAAGAAAATTAAACACCTAAAAATGGTGTTCAATTTTCTTCTGCTCCCTATGCAGTCAGAGATTAGATGGTAGAGCATTAGAGTGCATATGTCAGTGCAAGTAATGCATGTAAGCCCTATTACTCTGGTTGACAGAGGTCCTGGCCATATGCTGCAATGGTGGTTATTATTTTGCAGATTTTATTTATGGCCGCTCTGTTTTTGGTTAGGAACTTGTGAAATGCTGAGATATTGGCTGGTATCGGGAAGTGGAACTGTTCCGTGAGTGGGCACTGAAAGATATAATGGTCCGGTGACCCCTCACCCCTGCAAACACAGCGATCTGTGGTTGAGATGGTGCGGCGGTAGAAGTAATCCGGGAAGGGACCATGACCAGTAATGAAGTTGGTAAGGGGAGCAATTGCCATAAGGCGCTCCGTGGTTACTTTTGGCAAGAAGCTATGCGCTCTCCTTCCCGTGTCGCCCTGATCCCATTCTTTTTGCCACCACTGGATAGCGGCATTTCGCAATTGACTTTTGAGGAAAGATGGTGGTGCTGATACTGATATCGGTCTGGCATTTTGGTTCGAAGCAGCCTCTTTAGCGAGTTCATCCGCTGTCTCATTACCCATGTTACCTGCATGGGCTTTAATCCATACTAGGTCAACATGTGCGTGCCGATTATCTTTTAGGATATGCTGCAGTCGTATGATCAGCGGGGAGCCGTGACTATGTTTGTCAAGAGCAAGCAGTGTCGACATACTGTCTGTATAAAGCTGCACATGTGTGATGTTGTTGAGCGCCACGTATTCAATAGCAGCTGTTATGGCAACTACTTCTGCTTGAAAAATGCTATTATTTGGATTGAGGTACCCTTTCCAATGGTGTGCAGCATGGCCTTGCCTGTAGTATATAAAGGCACTACCTACACCCTCAGCAGTTTTCGAGCCATCTGTGTAAACGCGTGCATATTAGGGTTTCCTTCTGGTTGACTTCGTGACGGTTTGAGGATAGTGTGAATGCCAAGTCCCTTGTGTGCTGGGTGTGTGTGGAGAAGAGTACATGGATGTTCGTAATTTGCAGGGCTATGTAAGGTGCCTGCAAAGGTTGCGTCTTTCTGTAGATGTATTATTTTAGTATATGTGGCCTCTACCTCCGCTTGGATATGAAGTGGTATGATGCCTGCCAAGGTGTGTGCTGCATAAGTTGCAGTGGTGCGGTAGGCTCTGCATAAGCCTATGGCGAATGGGCGCTGTAGTGATAGGAGTTGCTTAACCTTGCGTGCGGTCATGGGTTGTGCCCATATAGCTGCCGCATAGAGTGCCACCTTCTCAGCTACAGTTTTATAAAGTACCTTTTGAATGTGGGGATTCCGTCCCCAGTTCCGGCCTTGGAATTGTCATGATGTCCTGGCAATTGCAGATGTTTTAATCTTTTGTGCCTGGATATGCGGAAGCCAAGTCAGACCTGGGTCCCATATTACCCCAAGGTATCTTAAAGTTTTTACGACCTTAATATTCCGGCCTTGTAGTTTGATACATGGGCTACGTGTTGTATTTGTACCCTTTCTTGGAAAGATGATAGCAGTGGACTTTGTGGTGGATATTTTGAGTTTTAGCTCTTCGCAGAGGTGGCAAAGATAGTGCATGACTCACTGCCATGGGCTTCAAGCTCAGCGCATGTGCGAAAAATGCAAATGCAAACAGGAGAGTGGTAGAGCAGTAGCTCCAAAAGCCAACAAAATGCAGACGATGCAATATATTTTAATTACTTACATGTTTTACAGAAAGCCAACTGAACACAGTATATCTTATTAGATCTTTTTTTTTACTGAAGTCGCCAATGGTAGTTATAATGCATCATTGCTGTGCCAGGAGCATCACCTGTAGTCTCACTTTATTTTTGGGAATTTGTTCCAAATATATATATATATATACTGCACTTATTTTGCAGCCAATAAAAAACTTTACAAATAATTTAAGTTTGTCACCCTTGTGATCACTTTAATTTCTTAATGGGGTCAGAGAACATGTTAAATCAAGCACAGAGGTTTAGTAGGTAAGAGGAAATCTAACCCAAAATAAATAAATAAATAAATAATAAAATATTGTTCTTAATGTATTTTATTGTATTTTGCATTATTTATTTTTTGATTTCATGCTTTAGTGCAATTGCTGTAAAATAATAGAGACAGGAGAAATTCAACCTTCTATGCCTGACATAGCTGTTTTGTACAAACTTCACCTTGAATCAGGGAAATTGATCAACTTGTGTGACTGGTTGACAGTAAGTATGCTTAATACTTATATATTGATATTTAACATAAAGTGAATATAATAAATAAAGTGCTTGTGAAATACATTAATGCTAAATGATATGTCTTAAATTCCAGTAGCAAGACCTTATTAATTTTTGAGAATTTTATTATGAATTCATTTGATGAATTATACATAAATTAAAAAAAGTATTTTCGTATGTAAGTCTACAAATCATAAATAGTCATTGCAGCATTTAATAACACTTGAAGCTATGTTGTTTGAAATCATCAAAGCTACAAAGAAAAGTGACACAGGGTTTTAAATAAGTCTCACTTCTGTGCTAGGAATTTCGTTGAATTCTATGATGGTTAATCTATGTCAAGCAGTCAGATAATTTATTACACTTTAAAATAATTTCATATTATATTAATTATTTTGGGTATCCTTCACTTCCTGAAGACAAATTTAAAATTATGGTAAATACAATTATGATACAGGGATATAACAGCCGTATGGCATCCAAAATAAATTAGATTTACCGTAATTTCCGGAAGAAAGGCTGCATCAGCATAAACACTGCACTCGAGAAAAATGGCAGGAAAAAATTTAATTTAAACAGAAACGCCGCAATAGATTAAATTGCACGTGACATCGTCATGGGCAGTATAGATGCAAAATCTCAACATGTGTCCTGATATATGACATATCAGTTAAGAAAAATGCATGAAATGAAATCATAACTCAAAAATAAATTAAAGGTAAGAAATGTTGAAAATATATTTACATTCACGAATATACTTATATTTACCCACTAAAGAAGTCCATATTTGTAATACTCAGACTGTATTATAAAAATGTTGCAACAACGAAATATTAAATTTGGATGACAAAAGGGAATTTTAAATTTTACTTACAAAAGGAATTACAGCAACCTATACATCATGAAGCCATCAAAATCTGATTCTTCACTATCTGAATTAAAAAGATTTAGTAAATCCTGAACTGAAGTCCAAGTCTTCGACATCCTCACATTCATCCTCTTGGTTTACAGTCTCTTTATCCGAGGATATAATTTCAGCTTCTTTAATCCCTGCTATTATTGACGATGTTTTCACCGATTCCCACACACTTCCTACCCCACTTTGCAACTTCTTTATAAGTTGCTCTATGCATTTTGCCGCTTTTGGTATACGTATGCAGTCCTTCACTCATCCAACATTCACACCTATTTCGGACTTCAGCTTTGAAGGATTTATTACCTGACAAATCTAATGGTTGTAAGATTTTTGTCAAACCACCAGGAATTATTGCTACGGTCGTAGGCAATTTTTGACATCTGGTTTTCGCTGACTCAAGTAAATGAGCACATATGGAATCCATTATCAATAATCCTTTTGGTTGGAAAAAAGATCCCTTACGACACTGCCAAACTTTTTGTAGCCGCACATGCATGATTGTTTCGCACATCCAGCCATTCTCGTTTGCGCAAATAAATTACGTCATTAGGAAAATCTTCCCTTCTGGAATAGTTTTTCTTTTAAAAAATAATCATTCGGCTTTAGCTTTGTCACTGTTTGCGGCACAAGCTAAGCACACAGGTAAATGATGTTCTTTCATTCCCGTCGTAAGCACAGATACAGTTTTTGCACCAGTTTCATCAACAGTTCTGTTTGCAGGAGAGTCGAAAGCTGATGGCGTTTCATCCATATTTATTATCTGTGACCGAAGAAGAGGTGTTTTTTTTTTTTTTTTTTTTTTTTTTTTTTTTTTTTTTTTTTTTTTTTTTTTGTCAATAATATCTGTCACATATTTTAGAAAAGATGCCTTTTTATCCTGCTAGTCCATTGGTAATTGTTGCCTGACTGTTGTTCTAGTACGCACAGAAATATTTTTTCCTTTCATAAATCTGCTACGCCAGCAAGGCCCTCCTTTGAAATCATTTATGTTCATTTGTTTTGCTATAAATTTTGCTTGTAAGCGAATTTTTACAGTCGAAATTGCCATTCCCTTTCCTCGTTGCTCCTTTATCCAGTTTGCAAGGTCGTCCTCTAGATTCGGCCACCTTACAGTACCACTTCTTTTGGCTCGTTTCTGTTGTGGCATGTTTTTAAGTTCTTTTTCAGTTCTCCAATGTCGAATACTTCTCTCGTACACTTTAAACTCTTGAGCTGCTGCTCTATTTCCAATTTGTTCAGCACATGAAATTACATTAAGTATTAAACCAGCAGTATAGCTTCTGTGCTGTTTAGGTGCCATTTTAAAAAAATTTCCTCTCCCTTCTTACTTAAAAACTATCCAACAAGTACTTGTACCCAAACTGATGCGATCTGTATCTGGTAGAATGGCAAGAAAAATCAATTCATGCTGAAGGGAAAATACGTCAGAGTTCATTATTACGAGGCAGGTGGAGTCGTGTCCTCCTTTGAAAAAAATTGCAGAAAAGGCAGGGGTGGGGAGAGGATGGGTCTTGGAAGATTCATTGAATAGCAGAGGAGAGAGATTATTCAAACTGATGAGAATTCTGATTTGAAAGGGAGAAGAATGTTATTGTTCTGAGATCCCGTCTAAGGTGAATAAGGCATGTAGGTCTGTTCAAGGGAAAGAATGTAAAAAAATAACGTTCGCAAAAAACAACTGAGTGGTCTTTTGTGTGGGAACAGCACCAGTCTATGTACAATGACCATCATAGGAAATATTTTATTTTTAGTGCACCTAAATGCCACATGGGTAGAAACGCCGCACCCACTGAAAATTAAAGTTTTAAACATGTAAACGCCACGGCGTTTCTTCCGGAAATTATGATAATTTTGGTGTATGGAACTTAGATATGAGGCTTAAAAATGTTTATTAGTGCAAATCTTAAAATTGTATACTTAATTAACAATTAATGCTGTTACCACTGAATGTGAATGATTTGGCTTTTTTATAAGTATTAATTTATTTTTTGATAAATAATGTAAGAATAACTTTTTACAGCATATCAAAATATTTAGTTAGATGCAGTGATACTAGCTGAATAAATTTGCTGATGGGGCAATAAATATTAAATTTGATTAGAACTATTAAAATTTGAGGATTTAGTGTCTCCAAAAGTTAATATTAATTTGAGACTTTGAAACTGATAAGTAACAAATAGTTTAAACTTATCTCCCAACTTCATGATCAGGTTCAGAAATTCCATTAAAAAAAAAATAGCATCAAAACTACTGAAAATTGAAATATTTAATTATTCTCTTTTCACATTTATAAACTTAGAATCTGCACAGTTATTTTTCTTGTATCATTTCTGTCTTTATTTGTGTAACTTCATTTCTTAAATGATCAGATTATTAGAACTAAAAGATGTCATGGCCAAGATTTTGCTTACGATCATGAAGATTACTTTTATTAGTCTGTCAGTTAATTTTTCTTTAATATGTACTCTATGTGAAATTTAACTATTTGTTTCTAATAACAAATTTCCAAGATATATACAAACTCTATTATTGTTTTAATATTCTTTTTTATTATATTCTTACAAAAAGGAAACAGTGTCTCCATATAAACTTGATTATCTAAATTAATAAGGCATGCATTAATATTCCCAGAGTTTTGCATACAACAGTATCTTTTAAATTACATTATAATTGTTAAAATATTGTAATAGACATATTTCAAGATTCCCCCCTTCAAGATAAAAACTTTAATATAAAAGGAAAAGCAAGTATATTTCACCTGTTTTTGTTAGTTTAATTGATATGAAATAAGCTTCTATATTCATTATATGTTTTTATTTTGCTGTAGCCGCCAATTATTTTGTAAACTGCACAGCATTTGCCGTCATAGTTAAAAATTTCTGATTTCAGGTATTGAAATTATGCTTATTTGTTCCTAATTTTCTTAGGCATTCAAATCTATAAAAGATAAAGATGAAGAAATTAAAACAAAACTCAAGAACAAGAAGAAAAGAAAATTAAATGATTCTGAACTAAAGTATCCTTTTCGAAAAAAAAGTGTATAACCATATAAAAAATATTTTCTTGTTACTGGTGGGTTTACATTATTTCTGATGTGCGTGTGTGTGTATATATTATAAACACACACACACACACATATATATATATCTGTGTGTATATATATGTAAAATATAAAAATATGATGGCTTTGCTCTACATGAACAGGCAACCTATAATTAACTTTCCGCAATTTCAGCATCTTCCTTCCCCTAAACCAGTACTTTGAGAACATTCTGGCATCTTACGTAATCGCTACTCTAAATGAAGAGTTTGCGCCATTTTTTGTCAGATTGCTTTTCTCTGTCTGCCGCTGTAAGACCCTTTGCTGCCACTCTTCCCATCTGTCGTTCTTTGTTTGAAAAGTATGACGCAGTAAATTTAAAGTTAATCATATTTAGTCTAAATTATTATCGCATATGTAATCTTGAAGAATCTAAAAGAATAATGATTTACCATTTGAATTAAATAAAGATGTGGAACCAGAACAGCTAACCTCTTCTGTGTTATCATTTCATGCCAAGCTTTGTGTGTGCCCGACTGCCCAAATATGACATTTATATGTTATAAAAGCACAAGGAAAAGACGGAGCAGTGTTGATGTGCATGTAGATCCATATTGAAGAGGAAGATTTCTGATTGCGTAGCATGTTAATATGCTGAGTTTGTAATAGCTATGAAATTTTGCAACCGACTTGGCACTCTAGTCGTGCCTATTCACAGAACATTTACATTTTTTATGCTGTCGACTAATTGTAATAATAGCATGGAAAAGACGGAGCAGTGTCGATGCGTAATCACTATGTGGTTTAGATCGTCAATCCGTATTGAAGACTAACTCTGATTGTATTGTATGCTAATATGTTGAGTTCGTAATATCTAAGAAACTTGGCAGCCCAGGCGATTTTAATTCCATTTTTATTTGCAAGTGAATATAAAAAATGTAAATGTTCTGTGAATAGGCACGACTAGAGTACCAAGTGATTGTGGCCACAAAAGTCAATTGCAAATAAAAATGGAATTAAAATCGCCTCAACTGCCAAGTTTCGTAGCTATTATGAATTCACCATATTAGCATACAACACAATCGGAGTTCTTCGTCTTCATTATGGATTGACGATCTAACCTATATAGCTATTATGCATCGACACTGCTTCGTCTTTTTCATGCTATTATTATAATTATATATATATATTAATGAGTATTTATCTTTTTTTTTTCCCCTTTCTATGCTGCCTTTTATTTCTGTCAACACCAGCTTCCCTCCGTCATGTGGAAATTCTCATACTGTACATGTATTCACAAATGATATCTTAAGAACTTTGCTTATGTAATATGGTAATTCCAAGGTCTTTTGGTTGTTTGTTTGGGGAATGAAAAGGGCATCATTATCTTCGACTTATTGAAAGATGACCTATTGTGGAAAGAAGTACATTCAGATGCTTCAAGAAGCCATTAAGACCAAACAAGAAACTGAATATGATCCATTCTCACTACAATAATGCATACCTCAGGCATGCTTAGCAATGATGCAATCAGCAAACTAGGTTAGCCACTGATTTGCAATTCATCTTGCAGACTAGACTTCAACTTCAAGCTAATTTTTTTTAGCCCAATGAAAGATGGCCTAATGGGAAAACAATATAAATGAAGTGAAAGTGGATTTAAAGGAGTAGGTAAACTAGTACACCACTAAATTTTTTTCTATGGAGAATTTGAGAGTAGGGTTTATTGTCATATTAAACAATAAACCTTACTCATAACATACAAAAGTCATAGCTGCTTAAAATAGTTATTATAAAAAACAAAGAATTTATGTAATGCTTTTAATGAATCTAACAAATGTAATTTCATGGCCCCAAATAATAATCAATAATTGAAATAAATATGCATTTATCAATTTAAATCACTTAATTTGTTAATAACAGAATAAATTTGAAAAAAAGATAATAAAACATTTTATGCTTCACCAAATTATGACAAATGTGTACATGGAAGATGAAAATACAGTTTTATATTGGGCAGTGGGCAACAAACTTCTTTTATATTGCTGAGTTTTCTAATTAAATTTGAATCATATCTTATGTTTTACTGATTGCCACCACAAAACTTTTATATCACAGAGTTTTTAATCTTAAGTTTATAGAGTCTCACTTTCTTTGTTGGCATAAATTCATGAGCTCTAGAAAAATTATTAAGGTATAATCCTCTTGTCTTAAACTGTAGACAGACAAAGTCAGAAGAATGGTGTAAACAGCCTTTTTATTTGAAAGAAAGAAGTGACAATGACCCAACTTGGGTTTATACAAGCCAATGCTTCTTAACTTAAAAAAGTAATGTTGAACTAAATGCAGTTAGATTAGCCTAATGATTCACAGGATGAAGTAATGCACAGGAAAGCTCTGGTTTATAGGAAACCAGCGAGAAAAGCCTAATGGCTGGAAGCACTCAACCCCACAGAATCAAACTGCTATTTAGTTATGGTAACAACAGGGCCTCAAGTAGGCAGAACATGCTGTAAAATCAACTTGGGAAACCTTCGGTTAAATAGCACTTTTTTTCTGCCTCAATCTAAATAAACATGCGCTGTCTCAGTTACATTCTAGCATGAAAATCTTGAGTGAAAAGTTGAGCAACAGGAAGGCTATTTTAACTCAAAATTAATTATTAGTCAAAAATAAATAAATAAATCTTCACAAGTTTTTGAGTCAAATGTGTATAAAATACGAAATAAAAAAATTTCAAAATTTGCCTTCAAGGTTCACATCATTAGATGTGTTCAAAATTTTATGGCTCTATATGCTGCAGTTAGAGTATACATACAGATCCTTCATTATCTAATATAGATCATCCGAAATCCATACACTATTTGAGTCTTCCTATAAAGAAAACTGAATCTCCTGGTTTTTAATATTTAGCCATTACTAGTAAAATTTAAATTGAGAAAATTTCATTCTCCCATCCTTAAAGATTTTTAGCATTATTTTCTTATTAAATTTTTTTTGATCTGCATTATCTTAATCTATTGTAGACATTTGTGAAACTTCATATGGATATTTTAACTAATGTTCAATCAGGTAAAAATAGCATCTAATTTTATTTTCACCGTGTTTAAAAGTACTATGGTAAGTTAAAGTTTTCCTTCCCCGTTCAGGATTTCCTCAGTTTAAAATTGTAAGAAAATTGCAAAATGAAATTAATCATAAACATAAAATTAATATTTTCAGTTAAATACTAATAAACTTTAGCTTAGGATCATATTATAAACATCTGAATAACTTTAATGTATTATAAATTGAGTTTGAATCAATCTGGAGTTCTTTTGAAGTGGTACTTTCATGCAGTGTAAAATTCTCTAGGAAATCCCATGTTTTTTATACTTCAAGGTTGGTAATACTTTGACAACAGCAATGTGCATGGATGATTAAAGAAGCGGAAATCAGCAAAGGGCCATCAGCTGCAAGTAGGCACACTAATCTACAATGGATGGCCAAATTGAGGACTGTGAGCTTTCTAAAAAAACGAGGTTGCAATGCAGTACAAAAAATTATGGAAGACTGAGTTTGTCTAAAGTGTGTGCAAAATAGCTACATTGATAGTTGACAACCAATATGAAGGATATAAGGGCTGTTATTTATAGTAATTCATTGAAAGCTTCTGAGATCCACAAACACCTGTTTCTTCCAAATTTATAATGCAGGATGAAATATGGGAATACCTTTATGATCCAGAGACGAGTCTAAAGAATGACATGTTTGCAACCTAAATATTCAAGGGCTATTAATCACCTCAGAAATTCATTTTGACTTTTGGGGGGGGGGTCTTTTGGTTGTTTGTTTGGGGAATGAAAAGGGCATCATCATCTTCGACTTATTGAAAGATGACCTATTGTGGAAAGAAGTACATTCAGATGCTTCAAGAAGCCATTAAGACCAAACAAGAAACTGAATATGATCCATTCTCACTACAATAATGCATACCTCAGGCATGCTTAGCAATGATGCAATCAGCAAACTAGGTTAGCCACTGATTTGCAATTCATCTTGCAGACTAGACTTCAACTTCAAGCTTATCTTTTTTAGCCCAATGAAAGATGGCCTAATGGGAAAACAATATAAATGAAGTGAAAGTGGATTTAAAGGAGTAGGTAAACTAGTACACCACTAAATTTTTTTCTATGGAGAATTTGAGAGTAGGGTTTATTGTCATATTACCATACTGGCTTAAATAAAGCATAGCTTCGTGTACAATACAATGATAATTTTTTAATGTGCTTTATGAAGAAAGGGAAATGAAAAATTGCACAAATGATAGCATCATTTATATGAGCTTGAACATGGAAGATAGTTAAGTTCACTTGTCGAACACTGAAGTAAAACTAAGTAAATTGAGTTCTAATAATAAATGGATAAGTGATAAATCACCTTATTGTCTTTAGTCCCTGACATTACCTTTGTTTTGCTTGCAGTTCATTTTTAATACTGATAGTGGAATCACATTTTTAGTCACATTTCTTCTAAATCACTACCATTCTTAACCCTTAAACACAGAGGTGGGGTATGTGATGTGTATATCAGTCTCCTGTAAAAAGTCCTCCACGAAGGCAGACCCTCCCCTTTGGTAGATAGCCCTTGTGTGTTTTGTTGTAATTAAAACAAACCAAATTAAATATGTAGTATATGCTATTTATAAATATCTTAAAATGATAGAGTGAATGTTTATAAATAAGTACTAATTAGATAATATAAGTGATATGAAATATATATATATTACAAATTACATTAAATATAGCTATTAAAAATGAAATAATGATATAAACTCTTAAGAATCATGTACAAAGATCACTCTGAAATTTTGAGATGCATGCAAACGATAAGTGGGAGAAAAAAATTAATGGTTAGATTTGAAAATACGAACTTTTTTAGCCTAGCAGATGATTTTTTATTGGCCACTTGTAAGTATTTTAACAATGAATGAGTTTTAGGCAGAAGGAAAAACGGCGTTGATATGAGAACTTTATCGTGCTATGATTAATTTTAAAGTGGAATTAAATCTAAAAGAATGTGTTCAACATCTACAATTAGTATATGGAAATGAAGATCCATCTTGTGCTACTGTATTCAGATGGATTACAAAATTTCACAGAGGTTGCAATTCTCTTCAGGATGAAGAACGCACAAGAAAGCCATTGTCGGTAGTGATCCAGCGTAATGTGTCTGCCTTACGGAAAATGTTAATCGATGATAATAATTGCACCTACTAAAAATAATACAAAAGAAACTTAACATTGGATCTGCTGCCATACATAAAATTATTCATGAACATTTGCATATAGGAAAAGTAGCTTGCCATTGGGTTCCCCAGTAATTTGACTGAGCACCAAAAGAAAATCGTGTCAGAATCATAAAGAAACCCTTGAATTACTCAAAGGTGGTGGCCACTGCATTATTTATAAAATAATAAATGGTGATTAAATGTGCATACTATTTTTTGACATTCGAACCCATCAAGAAAGTAAAGTACAGATCTTTGAATATGATCCTATGCCCACAATGTGAAAAGACAACGTGCCATAAAAAAAGTAATGTATGCCATTTTCTTCAGAAGTATGCGACTGGTATTCTGAATACTCCTAATATTTCGTAAGTATAACTTTAAAAACCTATATGTATCTCAAAAATTTCAGATTGACCCTTGTATATTGTTTTTAAATCCCGTAGTTTATTAAGCAATGTACTGTCCGCATTTCGGATATAAATTTAAAATCATGAGAAATATCAAATGACAACCGTCCATATGATGTGGATGTTGAATATGTTTATAATGTAATATAACATGACCAGAAAAGATGAAAATAATAAGTTATAATTGTCTCTGCCATTGATATAATAAATCTTGCTTCAAGAATTTGCCAAAGCTTCATTTTATTCTCTTTGCTGAATTGTAATATTCCTTCAAATTAGGCTCTTTATTTAAGAATTCCTTTCATTTGAAACTAATTATATAATAGCATAGATCTTATAAGTGGTTTAGCCTAGAATTATATATAACAGTTTTGTTTCTCTTTTCTTATGCTAAAATATGAAACTTTTTTTAATGTTAATTTTTGATATTGAATCATTTTGTTAATTGCTTGCTTCTTAAGAACACAATATATTCAGTGTGTGTATGTCAAGATGTGAACAATTATAAGCATTATGTGTTTAACATTACAAATTATTAAAAAGATTACAGTGCCATTTCCAAATTTCGGGGGGTCCCATGTTATGGAATTTATTGCCATTCAGTGAGTTTTAATTCATATTTATAACTGCAGTTGAAAAACAACATAAATTAAGAGACAGTAAGCATGTTTTTTAATAATTTTATAACTTTTTTTAATTATATACCTAATTAATAAACTTCCATTATTTATTTAATGTAATTTATATTACATCTGACTAATAATTTGTATGAACATTGTCAATATCATTATAATTGAAGATATATCATACACTATTTATCATACAGAATAAACATTTGATTTAACTTTTACATATACAAGGTAACCAAAAAAGTTCTTGCCGTTTCTGATATGACATTTGAAAAGTGAACCGCGACATAAAAATAGTCGCCAAACCTGGTGATGAAGGATGGGAGTCTGGACATTGACCAAGAGTATAAAAGTGCATTGCATCAGTACTTCAAACATAACTCACACAGTGACTGATTGAAATGGACGTGTCAAAGGCACTCGTTCGAAGTTGTTTGCTGTATTATTTTTAAGTGGGCCTCTCAGCAGCAGGATCAAGTCACCGAATTTGCCAGGCCTTTGGGGAGGATGCTGTTAATGAACAAGCCGCTAGACAATGGTTCCAGAAATTCAGGTCAGGAAATATGTCTTTTAGTGATACGCCACACAGCGGTCAGCCACAAACACTGGACGGTGAGGCCCTGATAGCAGCCATAGAGAGTGACAGTAGCCAAACATGTGGTTAGCTTATAAGGTATTCCTCCCACCTTCTTAGCATGGTCAAACCATTACGGCAGGCCTGTACTTGCAGCAATTGGAATGTATGCTTCAGGCAGTGATGCATAAAGAGCCAGCATTGGTCAATCGTAAAGGTGTACTCCTCCTCCATGACAATGTGAAGTCGTATGTGGCTCAGGAGGCCAAGGACACCATCCAGTGATTGGGTGGGAGGCACTACCCCATCCACCATACTTCCCAGACCTCAGGCCAACAGACTACCACCTTTTCCATTCCCTGGACAACCATCTTCATGAGAAATCCTTCAATAACCAACTAGACCTTGAAAAGGCCTTCACGGACTTCTTTGCATTGCCGAAATAGCATCGCACAGCTAGCCACTCGTTGGCAAAAGGCACTGGATGCCGATGGTGATTACTTTGAGGATTAGAGGTGATTATTATTTGTTTTAAGACTTTTTCTTTCTGACTGTCCAAAACAGCAAGAACTTTTTTGGTTATCATGTATTTTTAAAAGAAACTCATTGGTATCAAAATGGAAAATTTGTAATTATTAGATTTTTTTGTGAGTACTTTCCATCAAAAACATATGAACTAGTTTTTCTATTTATCCAGCTTGATTTTTTGTTCTGCCGCAATATTTATTAGTAAACAAGCAAGAATAAGCCTTAAAAAAAATCTTTTTCATTTAAAACTTTTATATCAACAGAAATACTTTATAAATTTAGGCAGGCAGAAGGTGTAAGCAAGTTTAATAAATATATTTCACTAAGTAGCTCTTTTATATTTGTGCAGAATTTGTTTTGGTTATTTAATAATGGGAAGCACTTACAGATATTATTGAATATAAATATTATTTCTTACAGTTCCCATTTCATGATAATAATGCTGAAGTTCACTTTTCCTTTTATTTTAAAAGTATATTTCTGTGAAAATGTAATACACTTTTCAGTGTGTATGTATTGTTTGAAATTCTTAACCAAACTACAGCATTCGTTTCATACAAGCCGCATCAGAATTGGAATTACTTGGCTTTATTAAACCAACCAAAAGGAAAACAGATCATGTATCAAGATTAACTTTTGTTACTTTTTAAAGTAAAAACTAGAGAAAATAATTTTTTATTAAATAAAATATTTTTCAAGTATTATTCATTTTTAAAACCTCAGCAGAATTTTGTATATAAGTTTTATTAAAGAAACTTATTTTTCTAGTACCAGTTTATGTACTTACATGTATTATGCATAACAAAAACATAGAATTCGGACAAAAATACTAACGTCTGCTCCTTCAGTATACTTTTCTAGGTCATTTTCATCCCACTTTATAAATAACTGATCAAATATCTCTTTTTAATTCATTCTAAATGAGATACTTCTTTAAAAATAATTCACATGCACTAAGTTCACATTTTCTATATTAAATTTATCCACATATTTCATTATTTATCATTTTAACACTTTTCTTTCCAATAATTCTTCCTGATACATGTTTAATGTAGATCAAAACACAATATTCTGCTTTAGATTCTCCAACTAGACACTACTTTAAATATTCACTTATCCCATTTTTCTCCACAAAGCTCCAGACTCAAACAACCATTTTTCTACATGGACCTTATAAGAAATAGACCAACCCAAATGGCTTTTCTCCCTCTTCTGACGCATTCCCAGCTGTCACCTTGATCACATCCAGAGAAGTATGGACGACTTGCAGAAATTTACAATGATTGGCTATTGCAGTGTGTATAATTGTCAAGAAAAAGTAGTTGGTTCTAGCACCTCATTTCACAAATTATAATTTTTAGGTATTTTTATTTTTGAAACTGAGATTGATTTTTTAAAAATTTAGCATATTTATGAAGCATAATTGACGTTCCAAAATAATTATAAAGCTCTTGCATGCTTTCAGGCCTGGCTATTTTTTTAGCTTTTCCTATGCTGTAAGGAAATTTGTAACTACTTCTTTTAGAAAATAATATTTTAAATCTGAACTAATAGAAAATTTCAAACAAAGAATTTTCTCTTATCATTTTTATTGGCGTAAATATGTAAAAAATATTAAAATACCTAAAAATGAATTTTTTGAAAGTTTTTGCTTAAAATTCCAAGTTATGCTACTTTTTTAAGATTATAGGTGAATATTATAGCATATTTTTATAAAGGAGTTTTATTTCAATAATATTTCAAAATACATCATAGTGATAAACACTTTTAGCACCTTAATAATTTTTATACATTTAATTCTAATGTCAAAATTTAAACTGTAATAATTGATTGTGCTAACATTTTATAGTGATGATTTTTTTAATTTAACTCTAATTCATCATAATATTTTTTTATTTACTGTGAATTTAATTTATTAGTCCAAAGGGGCGTTAGCCCAGAAAGGCTATTAGTTTCGAAACGACATTTTGCGCTGTTTCATTATAAATGTCCATTTCACTTTGCAAATTGTTGCCATCCAATATTATCGCCTTGTATTATATTTAAAGAAATTTAATAATGAATAATCTGTATGAATACATGTATGTTTCTCGCACTGTGAAAAAATGATGGTGTCTAGAGCCATCAAATTTTGAATAATGTAATCCTCTATCCGAACAGCTGAATTTCAAATTTGTTTTAATCCATTTCATATTTTGTAAAATTTTAACGAATTTCTGACTAAGAAAGTCAACGAGTTCAAAGTGAGCAATGGCAACACTGTATGGAAAATAACATTTTTATCTCCAGTGCAGAAATTCTAAAGATGCTGTTTTCAAATATTTTGTGATACTGCTGTTGAATTGAATTTTGTATGGTTTACGTGCGAAGAAAATGATATTCAATAAATGAGGTAACACACAAAGCGTTAAAAAACGTCCCTTTGAGCGTAGCATAAAATCTGAGTGCTTCCAGATTTTATTTATTTTCATTACATTCAAAAAAGTTTATGCTCTGAATTTTATGAATTATTAAAATAAATAATCATCTTATGATGTAAATAATTTAAGATCATATGATCAAATAAATGATGTCTTGTAATGTTATAATAATTTTAAAAACCACTACCTGAAAATTCTCGTAATTTTTTTTTTAAATATATCAGATCTTGTTTAATTTTGTTTTATTTGTTTCAAAGCTTCGTGTACTATCATTCTTATTTAATTTTACTTTATTTGTACTCAAAAGCAAGTTCATAAATTTTTGTATTTAGAGTTTTTACTGTTTTACCAAAGTAAAGATGTTTATACAAGAGTTATGCGTGAAAAGAATGCACAAAATGCATTAAAAATTGCTTTAAAGAGATATGTTAAATCTTATTTGACTTTCATAACCTCATCACTTATACAATGTATCACATTTAATCATTAAAAAAATTATGTGATATAAACGCCATAGGTTTCTGTGTTAAAGTAAACCAGATCGTCCCTACTCTTTCTTGCGGACATGTGGGTGACGCGCACCCCGCCCGCTGGGTTAGTCTATCTCTTACAAGCTCTATGTTTTTCTATCATTATTAGTCAACATGTTACATTACTTTATCTATGAGCATTTTGTGAATATCCAGTAACATTTATAACATGGCTAAATTTCACAAACACTGTATTACAGGGTTCGTACGGTCCTTAAGAGTTCTAGATTTTTTGGAATCGATTTTTGGTCCTTAAAAGTCCTTAATTTTGGTCAAAATCAACAGAAGGTCCTTAATTTTAATCATCTAAAAGTTCTGTCTGTTTTTACGACTGTCATTTTGAGTGTGAATTAGCATTTTGAAGAATATTTTTGGCGATTCACTACCGTATATATGGTAATCGTTTGAATAGGTTCATGAGTTGTAATTTATTTCTATTTCTAATATAAATGATGGGATACTCGAGTTTCTAAGCAAGAAGTGAAACATAAGCATTTCGAAATTCATTTTTTCTAGTAAAGAGCTCTTAAACAACTTTTTGCTTTTGGGGATGTGAATTCTTTTATTAAATGGTTCTAAATTTGGCGACTTTTCAAAATTTTGGCAATTTTAAGATTAGTTTCTATAGAAACTTTTTTAATTCCAAAATCTGAGAATTTTTCAACGATTTTTTTAAAACATCACAACATTGATAAATTTTATTAAAATAATGGTAGTATATTGAAATTATATTTAAAAAATAACATTAAAATAAAACATTTTTATTTTTCACTGTCATATTATAAAGTTTCATTTTGGCAACTTATACAATATTTTAAATCTGAAAAATAAACAAGGTATAATGCTATAAAACACAATTTACGAAACAGCTCTTAGCAAAAGCAAAATTAGCTGTGTAATTAATTAAAAATGTCTTGTTTTTAATTTTTTCATAGTAAGCGTTTTTCCCATGTAATTGTCTCAGAATATTCAAAATTCTCAGAATGTGTATCAGTTTTCTCTACAAAATTAATTTTATACTTTTTTCCAAAATATTTCTGGCTTTTTTTCTGTTACAGAAATGGTAGGGATAATTTTTCTTTAGGATTTTAGATATTGCAGCTTGGAAAGTTTAGAAGGATTTGAAGGCAAGATTTATAGACCTAGATTCTAGAAGATTCGAGAAATATGTGACAAAATGAAAAATGTCTCCATGGTATCAACACGTAGTGGATGTATTTTACAGAAAGTTTGAAATGGATTTCTTAATTTTGGGAGAACATCTGGAAGAACAATGTATTTTACAGAAAGTTTGCAATGAATTTCTTAATTTTGGGAGAACATCTGGAAGAACAATGAAAACATAATATTTGAATGTATTACTTCTGATACTAGAATCTTAACATGTTTATCTTCTCTTTATTTTCTCTACTTTTCATTAGACAGAAGCATGGAAAATATCAAAAATGCTTCTGATCTTATCACATGGGCAGGCATTATAGAAAGGGATTTTTTTATTAATAAAGAAATTGAAAACTTACAGTTTAAAAGATTCATCTAATATTTCTTAATGCATCATACACATAGCTGGCAATAGGCATTTTCCACCTGATGCAATTTCTGTGGATCCTAAATTCTGCTGCCTACTGCCTTTCTAAATTCTCCTTCCAATGCTTGCTTTAAATTCTAAAAGTTTTGCCATTTCTAGATTTTGTTGTTCGGTGTGTTACTAAATTCTAGAAATTCTGCCACATCAGCTCTGTAACCGTCCTTTACTATATATATTTCATATTACTAAAGAAATAAAATTAGCCGCTTTTTCTGTACTTTCTAAATGCATTTAGTGTTTTTAGAATAACGGAAATCCTTAATTAAATCCAAAAATTCTAAAATGAAAAGGAAACGTGTTGAAGAAAGAAACTATAAAGGAAATTATTCTTCAAAGATATGTGCAGTTATTATTATGTAAATTACCCAATTGTTTGATTTCAACATTTACTATAATTTCCAATTTCTATTTCCTCATATGATAGGGTTATTGAGCCAGATTAAATTACAATTAAATTGTATAATCTTTGACCACTAGTCCACATTATTAGTTTGAATTTGACTGTTCTTGTTTAATTACGTCACTGTGAGCTGTAATTGATTTTGTTAGCATCAGAACATGCCTTTATGTTCTAAGTTCTTTTTAAATAAGAGGCTTATTTAAACCTTTGTCTGATATTGTAGTTAATTTCAGACATAGCGATAATATGCTTCACGTCTGTCGGGGGTTTTGGACTATTTAACTTTTACCAGATCAATTAAACCCTCATAGGTACATTATGGAGAGATTGATAAGTTAGGAGATGAAGCACGTAGAAACTAGTGAGAGCATTGGTTTGCATATTGAGACAAATGTCTAATTGTAGATCTTAAAAGAGAAGGAAATCAATATAAACATTCAAATATGACCAACTATCATAAATTCTAGAAATTCTGCCACATCAGCTCTGTAACCGTCCTTTACTATATATATTTCATATTACTAAAGAAATAAAATTAGCCGCTTTTTCTGTACTTTCTAAATGCATTTAGTGTTTTTAGAATAACGGAAATCCTTAATTAAATCCAAAAATTCTAAAATGTGTAAAATATTTAATGCTACTTGATAAATTTGCATAGTTTATTTTATTCTCAAGCTTATTAACAATTATATTAATTAATTCATGTTTAGTAATAATGCGTACTATTTAGGGATTTTTATTTTTAGGATGGTATTATAAAAGTGAA